GGACACAGCGGCCCTGAAACAGCCGCCGGCGCCCCCTCCGCCACCCCCACCCGTGTCGGCGCCCGCTGCGGAGGCCGCGCCCCCCGCCTCTGCCGCCACCATCGCCGCAGCGGCGGCCACCGCCGTCGTAGCCCCAACCTCGACAGTCGCCGTGGCCCCTGTCGCGACTGCCTTGGAGAAGAAGACAAAGAGTAAGGGGCCGTATATCTGCGCTCTGTGCGCCAAGGAGTTCAAGAACGGCTACAACCTCCGGAGGCACGAAGCTATCCACACAGGAGCCAAGGCCGGCCGGGTACCCTCGGGTGCTATGAAGATGCCCACCATGGTGCCCCTGAGCCTCCTGAGCGTGCCCCAGCTGAGCGGGGCCGGCGGGGGAGGGGGAGAGGCGGGTGCCGGCGGTGGCGCGGCCGCAGTGGCCGCCGGTGGCGTGGTGACCACGACCGCCTCGGGAAAGCGCATCCGGAAGAACCACGCCTGCGAGATGTGCGGCAAGGCTTTCCGCGACGTCTACCACCTGAACCGACACAAGCTGTCGCACTCGGACGAGAAGCCCTACCAGTGCCCGGTGTGCCAGCAGCGCTTCAAGCGCAAGGACCGCATGAGCTACCACGTGCGCTCACATGACGGCGCTGTGCACAAGCCCTACAACTGCTCCCACTGTGGCAAGAGCTTCTCCCGGTGTGCACGGGGCCTCGGCCACCCGCTGGGCCGGTGGGGAGGGCAGGACGGGCCACTGAGGTGGCCTGGCCGAGGCGCGGGAGGCGGCTCTGAGGATGGGGCAAGGGAGCTCCTCCCAGGGAGGAGGGAGGGAAGCTCTCCCGGTTTCCAGGGAGCAGGGGGTGGGACTCTGCAGAGGAGGTGGGTCTCAGGGCTGACGGAAAGCTTCGCGTGGGGAGGAGGCGGTGGCAGCGGCAGCCTGACTCCAGGGGAGGGATTTCCTGCTCGAATGGCACCGTGAAGGCCCGGGAGAAAACGCAGGGATTCTGGCAAGACCCTTGTACAAAGTTTGGCAGATTTGGGGCACACGTCCTCACCCCTAACCCCAACCCCAACGTGTCCCCAGGCCGGATCACCTCAACAGTCACGTCAGACAAGTGCACTCAACAGAACGGCCCTTCAAATGTGAGGTAGGAAATCCGCCTCCTCCTGTCCTGGTTTTCATGATTTTGATCCTCATTGTAGCTGTCTGAGTTCAGCCTCTCAGACCCCCTTTTTCTCTCTCTTCTTTTTGCCTTTTCACTCCATTTTCTCATCCCTTCTTCAAGGCCTCGTCATCTCACTCCCATTTCCTACAGATCAAAGATCCCCAAGGCTCTGATACCTTTAACCTCTTGCTCCCTGCTCCTGACTCCCTGAAGCTTTAACTCTCCTGTGACACCCCCCCACGCCCCTCCCCCCTCCCCAGAAATGTGAGGCAGCTTTTGCTACGAAGGATCGACTCCGGGCGCACACTGTACGACACGAGGAGAAGGTGCCATGTCATGTGTGTGGCAAGATGCTGAGTTCGGCTTATATTTCGGACCACATGAAGGTGCACAGCCAGGGTCCTCACCATGTCTGTGAGCTCTGCAACAAAGGTACATGCTGAAGAATGCCTGCAGGGCAGGGACCTGGGTGGGCACCAGCCAGAAGTCCTTTCACAGTTGTGGGTTAAGGGTGCTGTAGCCAAGAGCTCGTGGCATCTAGAATCCTTCAGAAGGTAAACAAAGCAGCATTGGGAACAACTGAACTTAATTAAATTCCAAGAAGTACAACTGGAAGAGATGATCTACTAGAAATATGCGACCTGTTTGGTGTGCACAGGAGAATGGGAGTGGGGCACAGCTGCTTTAGGGAAGGAATAGTCAAGAAATCCAATTTCTAAGAGTCAAAAGGCAAGGTTTCAGCTGTGGAGCCACAAGTTCTTGTTTCAAGCTCCTGGGGCAAGTGGATATCTCAGCAGGGGTTTAGCAAGCACACACCCTTACCCAGTAGCAGATAAAGGTGTTTTTAAACAGGTTTACGTATTTACTGAGTAATTTGGGCAGAGACTATGGGCACTGGAGGGAAGGGACACAGCCGGCTCTGCTGAGGGTCAACCCTTCAAGGGGTATCAGTGTTCAGTCATTTTGGCCAAGATCTCTGTAGGTACCAAAGCTGAGAAGCAGACACCACTCAAGCCAGGCCCCAAGCTCAAGGAGGGGCTGCCACCTCTTCCCCAGCCCCAGCAGAGTAGTTGGCCCTAGGCTACCAAGGATTTGGTGGGAGGAGGACAGGGTCATCTGAGGAGGGTGCCCCCAGCCTAGGAGAAAAGCCCTGTCTCTGGGGTCTCCATCTGGCTGACCCCCATCCCCATCCCAATCCACCCCCCACCCGTAGGCTTCACCACGGCAGCATACCTGCGCATCCACGCGGTGAAGGACCATGGGCTCCAGGCCCCGCGGGCTGACCGCATCCTGTGCAAGCTGTGCAGCGTGCACTGCAAGACCCCTGCCCAGCTGGCCGGCCACATGCAGACCCATCTGGGGGGGGCCGTCCCCCCTGTCCCAGGAGACGCCCCCCAGCCACAGCCCACCTGCTGAGGGGGACCCCCGCACCCACCAGGCAAGGCGTGGGGCATGGCTGGGGGGCGGGATGGGGTGTGTGGGACAAGGGGCTCAAAGAGCCCAATAGGGGAGCTCAGGAAGGCCAGGGATGCCCATCTGTCACTCAGCTTAGGGAGAATTCTGGGGACAGGGAGGGCCCTGCAGGAAAACTCTAATGATGTAGGCCAAAGCTTCTAGGGACCACATAGAATTGAGCAACGGCTGTGTCCCAGGGGAAAAGGTCTGGAAAGGAATCTGGGGTAAGGGACTCTTGCCATTCAGATCGTGCTGTGATCTTGTGGTGTTTTTCCTTGTCCAGGTACTGGTGAGGTTTGTCCAATGGCGGCGGCGGCGGCGGCAGCAGCAGCAGCGGCAGCAGCAGCAGCAGCAGTGGCAGCGCCTCCCACAGCTGTGGGCTCCCTCTCTGGGGCTGAGGGGGTGCCTGTGAGCTCTCAGCCACTTCCCTCCCAGCCCTGGTGAGCTCCAAGTTGGTAGGGGAGAGGGGAGAGTGCAGGAAAGTCCCTGGGTACAGTCTCCTCTTCCCCTACTTTTCTCACCGATTCCTTACTACTACCCCCACCAACCAAGGAGCCTCCAGAACTAGAGGAGGCAGAAATGTTTCCTTAGGGGAATTCACTAGGTTTTAACGATTTGTTTCTCTTGCTCCTCTCTTCTTCCTGTCAGACCTGATCCTACACATACCTATTCCCCTCGGTTGTGTTGAAGTCCCCTGGACAGTGGCAGGGGTGGCAGAGGACAGGAGTAACCACTGCCCTTACCCCTTCTCCTCTCTGTAACCCCAGCCCTGTCCTCCTAGGGATTTGTGAGCCTTTCCCTGGATGGTCCCCTTATCCTCTTTCAGGCCTCCTCCCACTGCTGCCCCTCCCTGGGGAGTTTGTGTTTTTTTTTTTTTTTTTTTTTTTTTCTTTATTTTTCAGGGGGAGGGAGGAGAGGAAGGAGGGGAATCAAAGACTCTGTCCTAGAGAGGGAAGGAGGTGAGGTGAGATTTGAGACCGAGAGAAGCAGGGGAGGCAGAAGCTGTACCTTCATTAATGTGGGGTTGTTTGGGGTCAAGCCCTAAACATCCTGCTTGAGAATTGGTGAGGGGAGGGGGAAAATCAAGGGGAGCAAAGGAAGGAGCCAGGAGGGGCCAGAGGCAGGAGAGATGGAATCTTAGTGGGCCAGGGGAATGAAAGGATCCAGGGACTAGAGGTGCTTCCCGGGGTTGGGGGGAATGCAGCCACAGTGTCTCCCCCTTCCCTCTTCCACCCCAGCTCCAGCCCTGGTCTTTTCTTTTCATCCCTCTTCCCCACGGCAGAAGCTCTGGCCATGGCCATGTCATCGTGTTCCTGTGTCCCCTGCATGTTCCCCACCCTCCTCCCCCTCCTTTTGCGCGGACCCCATTACAATAAATTTTAAATGAAACCTGTCTCTGGCTCTGGGTTGAATGAATTGACCTCACTCAGCCCCTTGTCCCCACCCCAAGGGGTTTCTTGGCCTGGTATCACTCCCAGTCTTTCTCTGCCCAGTGTGGCTCTGGGGCTCTGGCTCCTCCCTCCTAAAGGGCAGCCTTAGTGGCTGCAGCACAGATGTAGGGTGGGGCCGAGGCTCTAGTGGCTGTGGAGAGCCAAGTTTCAGGACCTGGGAATACCCAACCCCAGAATAGCCACTGGAGGTTTGATGAGGAGGGTTAGAAACCCAAAGAGCTGGTGCTCTACCCCATCCACAGCCGCCGCTGCTCTGCAGGTGCCATACTCCTCCCCACCAGCATCCCCACAGGATACCTGCACGCCCTCAGGGCCCTGAAAGGTGGAGAATGATGCGTTGCTGGACGGCTGGGGCGTCTGAGCCCTGGGACTGGGAGCAATAAGTGATGTACAGAAACTGCACTTTGCCCCCTTGATCTTGGCATGGTCGGACCTGTGTTTACACCAGGTCCTCTGCCCTAGCCCATTCTTGCTGCTCCAGACTGCCCCTGCAGCGTCTACTTGCCCCTTGGAATTCCCCTTCCTGTCCTTGCTCGGGCCTTTCCAGGGATTCTCTTAAACCTTCCAGTTCCCATTTCTGCTGCTGCTTCCTTGGGGGTAAGGGAGACCTACAGGTTCCCTTCTCTGAAACCGCACCCTGCTCCTCTTATGCAGCCTCCCCGCAATTTGCCCCATCTTCCTTCCCTCCTGATCGTAAGAGCGCCGCTATCCATTCCAGCCTGCTTCACTGGTCCTGTCTCTCCACGGAGACCCCTCTCCATTTCCCCCAACACCCTGTCTCTGCCAGGACCCCCGGTGACCGTTGGCGGGAGGGGCCGGGGACTTAGGAAGGGGGCGCCCTGCAAGGAGGTGCGCGTGGGAAGGGACAGGGAGGGGGCCCAAGTGGTCCCCAGGCCGGTTGCCTGGGTAACGCGTGGCTCCCTTGGGCTGGCCGGGAGGGGCCAGAGGCTTTCGAGGGGCGGGGGCGGCGCGTTGTGGTGGAGCGTAGGGGAGGGGACCGGAGAGGAGGGGAGACCCGCCGCCGCATCCCTCCCGCCCTCGCTCGCTCGCTCGCTGACTTGCACCTTCCCGGGCTGCGGCTCCGGCTGCGGCAGCGGCAACGGAGAGGTCCGGAGGCCAGCGTCGAGGTGAGACTGGGACCGACTGAGGATGCGGTCGGTCCAGACGGCTGACGCCGGGCGGGTTGCACAGGAATGCGGGCTCCTGGCGGGCTGGCTGGTGGTGCTGGGCACGCTGCACCATCGGGAGGCAGAGGTACCTGCCACCGCGGGCGAGGGAAACCCTGGAAGAGGGGCTGACCAGGGGCTCAGAAGAGATAACCAGGTCTCCTCCCGGGAGGGGCGGGGGCGTCCGCACCCCAAATGCGCAGCAAGAAACCCCGCACCGCCTCGGCCCCGGGAGGAGGGGAGGATGCAGAGGGAGTGGAATGTTTAGATCCTCTTTCCGTCGGAGTGTCTGGGCGTCCGCACAGCCAGCTTGTTGACTTGGGGGTGCTGGGACATCTGCTGTGATATGTGAGTCTGAATCTGAGGGTGGACTCAGGAAAGGACCCCATCGAGGGTCCTGTTTACAAAAGGACGCCCAGGGCTCTCCAAGCAGAAGACTTTATGTCCCACCCCAAGGCAAAGGAAACCCCAACTTTTCTTCCTCTCCTGTGGGGCAGCACAAAGCTGGCCTAAGACAGGAGCATGGCCCTCTGGGGCTTGCAGTGCTTACAACCCCTCTGCCCTCTCCTCACACCAAGCCTGTCTCCTCCTCTTCCAGGGTTTGTTGCTGTGTCTGCTATTCCATACCCCCCTCCCCCGCCCCCAGGGGCCTTCACCCCTTTCCCCTCTCAAGATGGCAGCCAGCAGCTCTGAGGTCTCTGAGATGAAGAGGGTTGAGAAGAGTCCTGAGACCCAGAGAGAAGGGCCTGGCCATTCTGAAACTGAAACTGGCCCTCTCCAAGTCCTAGCAGGGGACGCAGACCAGCCAGAGACCCTGGAGCCAGGCTCAGACACCACTGGGTCCTCTGTGGACTCCAGGCCTAAGGCTGGGCTAGCTCCAGAAACCACAGAGACCCCTGCTGGGGCCCCAGAAACAACCCAGATCACAGACCTCAGCTTAAGCACAGGAGAGGAATCAAAGGCCAACTGCACCCCAGAAGAAGCATGCCAAGAGCCAGTATCCAAGCCAGAAGTGAGCAAGTCTGCCACTGCAGACCAGGGGTCCAAGCTGGAGGCTGCAGCTCCACCTGAACCAGCCTCAGAACCTGCTCCCCAGCCAGACTCCCAGCCTGAGCCCCAGCCAGACTCCCAGCCTGAGCCCCAGCCAGGTTCCCAGCCCACCCCCAAGCAAGATCCCCAACCAGAGCCCCCTCCTACCCAAGAGGACCCCATCCCTGAGGTCCTTACTGACAGTGTAGGGGAAAAGCAAGAGAATGGGGCAGTGGTACCCCTACAGGCTGGTGACAGTGAAGAGGGCCCAGTCCCTCAACCTCACTTGCCACCCTCAACAAAATCCCCCCCAGCCAATGGGGCTCCTCCTCGAGTGCTGCAGCAGCTGGTTGAGGAGGATCGAATGGGAAGGGTTCATAGTGGGCACCCAGGATCTCCCCGAGGTAGCTTGAGCCGCCACCCCAGCTCCCAGCTGGCAGGGCCTGGGGTGGAGGGGGGTGAAAGCACCCAGAAACCTCGGGACTACATCATTCTTGCCATCCTATCCTGCTTCTGCCCCATGTGGCCTGTCAACATCGTGGGCTTCGCTTATGCTGTCATGGTGAGCCCTATGGGACCCTGGCCCAGGCCTGCTATGGCTCCCAGCTTCCCACCAGCACTGGGACAGAGCCCCAGGAGTAACCATGCCTTCCCTCCCCTCTCTGCATGGATTCCACTCCCCCAATTACAGGGCCTTTGCTGGCCTCCCCCTAAAACCTACCCTGTAAGCTGCCACTGTCTACCTTTTGGTGGGAGGGATATGAAGACACAGGGTTACACAGCCTTGCTGACCTGTGTGCCCTCCTCCCCCCGCCTCTCCAATCCTTCTTCCTCCCTTAACCTCTGTCTGTGAGGCTGACCTCTCTCTTCTGGACGACTCTTTCATCTGATCCCTGCCCGGCTGGCTTCTGAACCTGGCCATGGCCTTGGTGCATCCACCCCTCATCCTAACCCCAGTCACGAAACAGCCTGCAGCAGGGAGATGTGGATGGCGCTCAGCGTCTGGGTCGAGTGGCCAAGCTCTTAAGCATCGTGGCACTGGTGGGAGGGGTCCTCATCATCATTGCCTCCTGCGTCATCAACTTAGGCGGTGAGTGGGGTTTGGGAACAGACAGGGGAGGAGTGGAAGGGTTGATGAGGGCAGCGTTACTAACCCCTGCCCCTGCTCTCTCCTGTCTGTCCTTATCTCTCCTTTGTCTCTCCTTGTCTTGCCCCACCCTCCTTCCCTGTCTCTTGTCTGCCCTTCCCTCTCCTCTCCCACAGTGTATAAGTGAGGGGCTCTACCCTGCATTCCAAGACTTTCCTTCCTGTTGGGAGCTGCCTTGGGCCCATCCCTCCCCTGGGGGGAGCCCAATCAATGGCTCTGGCCCCCACCCCTAGGGACCAAGGGAGCCTGAGCATCCTTGTTTACAGCTTCTTTCCTGCTCCTGCATCCCGCCAGGCTCCTCTGCCAACTGTAGGCCTCCCTTCCCCTTGCACTGTTTCCTGCCTCCCTGCACTTCTGTCTGCATCCCCTCTAGCCTCTTGGCCCCCCATCCGTGCACTTCTGGAAACTTCCCTGCACATCTCCCAAACTCTCTGCACTCTTAGCCTCCCTGCATCTCTCCCAGCATCTCCTTGCATTTCTTCCAGCCTCCTGAATTCTCTGAACCTCAACCCTGGCCCCCTCTCAACTTTCATTGTCTTGGCATCTCCATTCTTTTCTTACCTTCTTTATCATCTCCCCTTCCCCTCTCTACATGCCCCGCCCCAATCTCCTCCTGCTTTATCTCCCCTTAGCATCCTCTTCTCCAACCTCCAGCCATCATTTATTCTGCAGAAATTCCAGCACAGTTAGATCAGTCTGGGGTAGGGGGAGCAGTCTTAGAGACGGCTTCTTAGCCCCTGCTCCCAGGCCGGGATGCCCCCAGGGTGCCTTGCCGGTAGCAGAGCTGGCAAGCCAGGATTTGTTTGGGGACTTGTGCAAGGGTGGCAAGTACTGGTTCCACGCGCGCACATGGGAGAAGCGGGGGTGCGCTGTTGCTTGGTCGGCCTGAGTTGACCCCATCCCTACCTGGGCTCTTTAACCCTGGTCAGTGAGTTTCTTTCTTGAGAAGTACTGAGGCTAAGGTCATCCATATATTTTATAACGAAAGAATCCAAAAACATAGGACCAAAGTTTCCAGCTCCAAGGAACGAGGGAGGGGCGGGGAGCTCTATTTTCTAAGATGACAGGGGAAGTCTGTTGCATGCGACAGCCGGCTGAGGAGGCGGAGACCAGGCTACAACTAGGTTTGGAGTTGGCGGGTTTTTTTTTTTTTTTTCCTTAAAAAAAGACTGGGGAAAAACAAATTCTTTTTTAAAAGGGCATATGAAACTGATTTCTCCCTTTTTGTATGCCGGATGCTGCATGAGTCTGAAACACCAATAAACGGAGACTGCATGAGACTCGCCTCCGGTCTCAGTCCCTGCTTTCGTCCCACCAGGCGGGCGGTACTGTCTCCCTTCCGGCACCTACTTGGTGGTGTATACGCATGCACCATCCCGGCGGCCATCTTTACTGTGGGCCGAATCCTGTTATGCCCAAGCGTCTATTTACGCATGTGCGAGCCTTCCCTCGCTTTCCTCTTCCAAGTAGCTTTGAGTAAAGTGGGGCCTCCGGCGCCGTTTCTGAGCGCCTGCGTACTGTGACGCTGCGCAGCCGGAGAGGCGGGTCTTAGCTCCAGGTGCCTACGGCGGCTCAGAGGGCGCGGTGCAGAACTACTAGATCTAGGGAGAGGGCGCCGCGTCCAGATGTGGAGACGGGCGGTGTGAAGGCAAGAAGAGTAGTCCTGCCTCTCTCCTTCCCCTATTTGGCTGAGAAAGTGGTTTCTGCAGACTCCCGGGAACACCAGAGGGCCCTATCTCGATCCCTGGGGCGTGGTGCTTGGAGGGGACTGAACGTCCCCCCATGGGGATAGGCCTCGGAGACAGCTGTTGCAAACTGATTGGTTCAGAGAAATATTGCCTAAACCGCTGGGGAGCCTGATTCCTTATTGGTGGTGGTGGTGGGGACCCGGCTTAGTACTCCAGCATCTCCTGTCATCCCTAGCGGCCTATGTCCCTTGCTCGGGGTCATGGAGACACTGCGGCCACCACGGCAGCGCCTCTGTCTGAAGAAGGGGAAGTGACCTCTGGCCTTCAGGCTCTGGCCGTAGAGGATACGGGAGACCCCTCTACCTCGGCCGGTAAGGCCGAGGAAGAGGGGGAAAGAGGCCAGGAGGAGACTGAGCGAGAGGGGTCTGGGGCAGAGGGTGCGCAGGGAGAAGTTCCCAGCGCTGGGGGGGAAAAGCATGCCGAGGGAGAATCCGAGGACTGGTGCGTGCCCTGCAGCGATGAGGAGGTGGAGCTGCCCGCGAGTGGGCAGTCCTGGATGCCTCCGCCTTCCGAAATCCAGCGGCTTTATGAACTGCTGGCTGCTCATGGTACCCTGGAGCTTCAAGCGGAGATCCTGCCCCGCCGGCCGCCCACGCCCGAGGCCCAGAGTGAAGAGGAGAGATCTGATGAGGAGCCAGAGGCCAAAGAAGAGGAAGAGGAAAAGTGAGGGCACACCCTTACACCTTGTTCCTGGGGCTCTTCTCTTGCCAGGAGGAAATAGGGAGGGGGAAAAGATGGACTCAGGAATAAGGAAAGTGGAGGAATGGAAGGGAGCAGGAGAGGAAGAGACAGTATACTCGGTAGAAGCACCTGTGGGGATGTTTGGGAGCGTCACCCTCACCTTTCACTTTCTGTCCACCTGTCCCAGACCACACATGCCCACGGAATTTGACTTTGATGATGAGCCAGTGACACCAAAGGACTCCCTGATTGACCGGAGACGTACCCCAGGTACAAACAAGAGGGAAGAGTTGGGGGTAGGTGAAGGGCCTTTGCTCCCAGTTACCCAAAAAGTGGCTCCCTTAAAGAGGCCTTTGCTTGGTACCTCAGTTGGCACACAATTTTTATGTGCAGGAGAGAGCATTTACCCAGTGGCACCATCTTTCTGACTCTGTCTTGTTTTGAGAGATCATCACAGATAATTCTTTCATGTTTCCCATTCCTTTTATCTCATTCTCCTCCCAGAAATCCAAGTCACTGTGGTCACTAATTATTCTCTAGATCCATGACCCTTCTACTACTATGTACATCCCCTAGTCTGACCCAATTTCTGATCCATATGCCTTCCTAGAATTTACTCTTGCAGACTTTTGTTTTTTGAGATGGAGTCTTGCTGTGTTGTCCAGGTTGGTCTCAAATTCCTGGGCTCCAGCAATTCTCTCACCTCAGCCAACCAAGTAGCTGGGAGTACAAGTGCAATGCCACCACATCCAGGTAGCCTTGAAGCCATTCTTGATTTTTCTTTCTCTTTTATACAAGCAGAAAGTTGCACTAGCTCTGCCTCCATATTTCCAAGTCCATTTGTGACTCTCCATTTTTTTTTTAATTTAAAAAAAACCCTTTTTTTTTATTGGTCAGTGTTGGCAAGAATCTGTTACAAAACTGGGCCCGTGGACTTGTGGAATGTGAGGGAAGTGGGTCCGTTCTGTCAGATGCCAGCTTTAGGGCCAGGGCACAGAGAGCCCTGTGGCAGACTGTCTTCACCCCAGTGACTCTCCACTTTTAAACCATACCCCCTATCCAAACCACAATCTCTTTTGCCTGAACAGTTGCAGTAGCTCCAAACTGATCTCCCTGCTTCCAGTCTCAGCAGAATGATCCTTTTAAAACATAAATCAAGTCACTTCTCTACTTAAAATCCTTCAAAGGATTCCATTGGTGTGAGGAAGAGCATGTTGTGGGAGAATCTAAGCTCCTTGCCATTGCTCCACCCCAGCTCTCTACAATCTTTTTTTTTTTTTTAAGACCAGAGCCTCAAGCTGTCCCCCTGGGTAGAGTGCCATGGCATCAGGCATCACAGCTCACAGCAACCTCCAACTCCTGGGCTCAAGCGATTCTCCTGCCTCAGCCTCCCGAGTAGCTGGGACCACAGGCGCCTGCCACAACGCCCGGCTTTATTTTTTGGTTGCAGCCATCATTGTTGTTTGGCGGCCTGGGCTGGATTCGAACCCACCACCTTGGGTGTACGTGGCTGGCGCCTTAGCTACTTGAGCCACAGGCACCGAACCTACAATCTTTATTAATTTTGTGGAGACAGGGTCTCAGTATGTTGCCCAGGATGGTCTCAAACTTTGGACTCAAATAGTCCTCCCACATCAGCCTCCCGAAGTGGGAGTGAGCCACCAAGTCCAGCCTATACTTTCTTTGAACTGACCTCTCTGTTCCCCCTGGAGCCCTTGCACTTGCTCTTCCCCCTGTGTGGGATGGTCCTCATCTACTGGTACTTCCCATAATCTAGGACCTTCACTCCTTACTCTGTGTCCCAACCCCAAACTTCAGAACCTTCAGGACAGAAGTCTAGAAACGTGTGTTTAACAAGCTCTCCAAGAGATGAGTAAGATTCAGTCAGGCAGGTCTGGTGCACACTGCCTCCATCCCTCCATATTTCTTTTCTTTTCTTTTCTTTTTTTTTTTTGGAGATAGAGTCTCACTTTGTTGCCCTCAGTAGAGTGTCTGTGGTCTCATAGCTCACAGCAACCTCAAACTCCTGGGCTCAAGTGATCCTCTTGCCTTAGCCTCTGGAGTAGTTGAGACTACAGGTGCCTGCCACAACACCCGGCTATTTTTTTTAAGAGATGAGGTCTCACTCTTGCTCGGGCTGGTCTCAAACTCCTGAGCTCAGGCAATCCACCCACCTTAGCTTCCCAGAGTGCTGAGATTACAGGCATGAGCCACCATGCCCAGCGCCCCTTCCACATTTCTTACCTTGCCCTTCTCCAGGAAGCTCAGCACGGAGCCAGAAACGGGAAGCTCGCCTGGACAAGGTCCTTTCAGACATGAAGCGACATAAGAAGCTGGAGGAGCAGATCCTTCGTACGGGGAGGGACCTCTTCAGCCTGGACTCAGAGGACCCTAGCCCTACCAGCTCCCCACTCCGGTCCTCTGGGAGTAGTCTCTTCCCTCGGCAGCGGAAATACTGATGGCTGCTGCTGCTGGCCCTAGGGTGCATTTTCTGTACCTGCTGGGGCCCTCCTCTCCTAACCCATTCTGGGAAACTTGGGAGGAAGAGAGAAACCTCAGGTTCCTGACAGCACCTTTTGGGAAAGAGAGAGTGTGTGTGTGTCTTTGATGTTGAACTTCTAATCAGAGACCTGGACTGAATTTTCTGAGTCTAAAATAAAAAGATGCAGAGTTATTTTAAAAGGAGGGTCTGCAACTGGAGCCTAAATGATTTGGTTGGACTTGAGAGGATAGACAAAATAGTATTCACCGAGATTGGAAAATTAAAGCCAGATGGGGCAGGGATGAACTCAGCACTTACTTCCTGCTTCATACCCTTTGCCCCTTACCAGCCCACCGTTGTTCAAATGAAGCCTGCACTAATTGCTACCTGCAGGCTCTAAGGCAGAAACTGACGAGTGGAATGAGCTTTGGGGTCTTCTTTGTCTGAAGGGGAGGCAGCCCAGAGGGAAAAATGAGAAGCAGTTACGAGGGCCCTTTAACTACCCAAGCCCCACCCCTCCTGCTGTTATGCCCCGCCCTGCCGTGCCGGGAAATGATCCCCAGGGCTGGGTGAGCGTTAGCCTTTCTCCCCTCTGAGGAGTTTGCTGTTAGCTACCTTTCTAGATGTGAGTATATCCCCAGACCCCAAATCAGTTGTGGGTCTTTGTGCCCCTCAAGGCTGTTTGCTTTCTAGGGCCTTGCTGAATCAGAGGGAGGAAGAAGGGTGGAGGCTTTATCTTGGGAGATTTTGCTTTCCTTTCTGAAGTGATTCCACTCCTTTCCTACCTCCAGCTCTGAAGCCTCTCTCTAACTTCAGGAGACTTTGTAGGGGTCATTCACACCCCTTAGAGCTAGTTTGGTCCTTGCTGTGCTCACCTGCTTCTTCCTCCGGGGGTCCTGGGCTCTGGCCTGTCACTTTGAGTGCCTAGGATGTGATTTATCCCCACTGAGACCCCTGAATACCACTAAGTGGTCAGACTTTACTACTGCCCCACTCGGGCCAGGTCAGCTGTGGGCCTTGGCAGATCATTTGAGAAGACATTAGAGCAATCTTAAGGTAGGCGTGATTTCCGGAAAGCATAGAGTTTGAGCAAGTTTTTTCTTCTTCTTCCTTTTTTTTTTTTTTTTGCAGTTTTTGGCCGGGGCTGGGTTTGAACCCACCACCTCTGGCATATGGGGCCGGCACCCTACCTTTGAGCTACAGGCGTGGCCCTGAGCAAGTTTCTTTTTCTTTTTTCTTGTCTTTTTTTTGAGACAGAGTCTTGCTGTGTCACCCTCGGTAGACTATAGGCCCCTGCCACAACACCCGGCTATTTTTGTTGCAGTTTGGCTGGGGCTGGGTTTGAACCTGCCACCCTAGGTATATGGGATTGGTGCCCTACTCACTGAGCCACAGGCGCCTCCCAAATTTGAGCAAGTTTCTTTTCCTTATTTGTGGGAGAAGGAAGTGAAAAATAAGTTCAGTTGGACCCACTAACCTGTGATCCTGAGGCTCTTAGAGCTGCCACCCTGGAGTGAAACACTTGAGGGTAGGAGATGGTAGTTGCATATGTTCCCTATACTTTGCTCCCTGTTTGAGTGGACCCCGGTATCTTAGGGTGAAAGGCCTGCTGTCACGTGTGGGGGTGAGGAGTGGCTCTCCCGGAAACTCCTGCTGGTTTCTGCCTTTGGTACCCAGGGCAACAGGCTGGCCCTGGGAGGAGCTGTTTGAGCAGGACAGCTCTTCATAGCCATTAGCAGGTAAGGCCCTTGAGTGGATGACCTGCCATGGTGACTGGGTGCTCAGGCCCAGATTACAGAAAATAGCTTTTTTGTTTGTTTTTGGTTTTTTTGTTTGGGATTCATTGAGGGTACAAAGAATTAAGTTAAACTGATTGCATTTGTTAGATAAAGTCCCTCTTTTACTTATTTATTTATTTTGAAGCAGAGTCTCACTTTGTCACCCTTGGTTGAGTGCTGTGCTGTCATAGCTCACAGCAACCTCAAATGCTTGTGCTCAAGTGATTCTCTTGCTTCAGCCTCCCAAGTAGCTGGGACTATAGGTGCCTGCCACAATGCCTGGCTATCCAGCTATTTTTTTTCTTTTTCTGAGACAGAGCCTCAAGCTGTCCCCCTGGGTAGAGTGCTGTGGCATCATAGCTCACAGCAACCTCCAACTCCTGGGTTCAAGTGAGTCTCTTGCCTCTACCTCCCGAGTAGCTGGGATCACAGGCACCAGCCACATCGCCTGGCTATTTTTTTTGGTTGCAGCCATCGTTGTTTGGCGAACCCGCCACCTTAGGTGTATGTGGCTGGTGCCTTAGCCACTTGAGCCACAGGCACCAAGCCTATCCAGCTATTTTTACAGGTGGAGTTTTCATCTTGCTTAGGCTGGTCTCAAACCTGTGAGCTCAGGCAATCCACCTCCCTCCGCCTCTCATAGTGCTAGGATTATAGGCATGAGCCACCTCACCTGGCCAAGGTCCTTATAATTGTGCCCTGCCCCCCCCAAAAACACCTTTGAACTGCCATTGGCATTATCTCTGGGGCAGTAACCAGCCCCACCCAGGTCCTTAAGTCCTTGTATTTTGTTGTTGTTGTTCCTTTGTTTGTTTTTTGAGGCAGAGTGTAACCATCGCTCTCAGGAGAGTGCTGGGGCGTCATAGCTCACAGCAACCTCAAGCTCTTGTGCTCAAGCCAGGATTGAGAGCCAGTGGGGAAAGTGTCAATCCAGCAGGTTCTGTCACTGTCAGCATCATCTTGGGCCACTTACTGGCCTCCAGGCCTTCCTTTCCTGTTTCCTTCTGAAGTCAAAGATATGCCTTAGGAGCTGATACCGTAACTAGGAGGAAGAATAAAGACCATCTCCAGATCCAGATGACTTCTCAGGGCAGGGAATTTCTTTCTTCTTTTTTTTTTTT